ACTTTCCACCACCACCAGACCAAGGGTTTCCACCCTCAAAGGGCTACCTATCTGAGGGAAGGATGGTTCTCTTAAAGACAAGGGCGAGGGACACGCCAGGCACTGCTTTCTTCAGAGCTGTGATACAAAAATTGCAGTCCTGTGACTTTTCTGCTTTACAAAGAGGGACAGGGAACCAGCCGCTCCCTAATCCTCCTCATCGGGAGGTAGCTGCCGTTGTGTTTCTTTGTCTGAGTTCCCAATCAGAGTCGGCTCGCCGTTCACCCTCGCCTGTGGTGGTGACAGAGTTTATCTTCCATGGATGCTTTGGTAATCCCGGATAAACTGTATTTGAATATACACCCATTGACTCGCGTGGGTTTCTCGCTCAAACTCCATTGACGGACCTTGGTTGGAGCCCCGAGGGGGACCCACCTTCTCCTTGAACCAGATCCGTTGTCTTTTTTATGGTCGTCGTGATGGGGAAGTGAGATACCAAGGACATAATAACTTCCATAGCAACCAACTGTGAAGGCACAAACAAGAGATTATGATTCAGGTGGGGAATAAACAGCAGAGACGCAGATGAAGCTTTGAAGAACATGTTTTCGCGCCAGTGTCCTTTGTAATAAAGAACCAGTGAACAGAAATATAGAATTTTTCCCCCCCCTTTAGATTCAGAAAGGCTGAATCATTTCTCTCCATAGGTTGTTTTTAAAGCTTTCCACAAGGCATCAGCTGTCCTTTAAATCTGTGGCACGTTATATTGCCAGGAGCAGACTAACGGATTGAAAGCCAATGTCTCTTTTCTTCCTTCCCCTTCCCCGAGGTTTCAAGATATTTTGAAAATATTCTTAATCTCCCCCCCCCCCAGTTGAAAGGCAAGGTGGATGTGGGTTGGAGGGTTGGAGGAGACAGAGGAAAAAAATGAGAACTGGAATTCAGCCTTTACAAGATGTCTCCGGAACGGAACTAATGGATCTGGACAATCTAGGGAGACAATTACGGGGTTCCCAGTAGAGTTCCCAGTTCCAGGTTGGGAAACTCATGGGGATTTGGGAATGGAGCCTGGGAAAACCAGGGACCTCAGTGGGGTATGATGCCACAGAGCCCACCCTCCAAAACATCCATCTCCTCCAGGGGAAGCTGATCTCTGTAGTCTGTAGATGAGCTGTAATTCTGGGGGGTCCCCAGGTCCCACCTGGAGGCTGGCATGCCTAGCTCCCAGCATTCTGTGACAAAGGAACAGGACCTAAGTTGAGGTTATTCAAATATATGAATAGAAACAAGCTTGATTCTTTGGGTTGGCCTTTAGGAGAATATTAGATGTGAATAGTAAAGGTAAAGGTTTCCCTTGCTCGAAAGCCAGTCGAATCCGACTCTAGGGTTGCGGTGCTCATCTCCATTTCCAAGCCGAAGAGCCAGCGCTGTCCGAAGATGTTTCTGTGGTCATGTGGCTGGCATGACTAAATGCCAAGGCGCATGGAACACTGTTACCTTCCCACCAAAGTGGTACCTATTTATCTACTTGCAATTTCTTGCTTTCGAACTTCTAGGTTGGCAGGAGCGGGGACCAGAGACGGGAGCTCACTCCGTCATGCGGCAACTCGGGTCTCAAACTGCTGAACTACCGACCTTCCAGCCTGCAGTTCAGCATCTTAACCACTTGAGCCACCGCAGCTCCCCTTATATATGAATACCTAAGCACAAAATGCCCAAGTAGCATGTCAGATATGACATTTGTAAGCATGTTTTTTTAACCTTGTCCTTCGTTAAAGCACATACCCGGGTCTATTCCCATCACATATATTTTAAGGCTGAATTGGGAGGGGTGGTAAAAATAACCCCATGCTTTGTTAATATTGGATGCACTGCTACTCATGTGTTTTGTGTGCCCTGCCTCTTAGTGGCTGGTGTCACCAGGTTGCCTCCCATCCTGCATAAGTGAATTCATGACATTGATTTCTCTGACTTCACCCTTGGGGGTGGCATCGTGGTGAGCTGAAAAGCTGCCCTGCCATCACTGCATCCTGTAGATATGTACAGTATATCTCTGAGCAGAGTACATGGCACCTTGACCTGGATAGGCCAGGCCAGGCCAGCCCAGCCTGATCTCGTCAGATCTCTGAAGCTAAGCAGGTTCAACTTTGGCTAATATTTGGATGAGAGACCTCCAAGGAATACCAGGGTTGTGACACAGAGGCGGGCAATGGCAAACCACCTCTCTGAATGTCTCTTGCCTCGAAATCCCTGTGGGGTCACCATATGTCAGCTGTGATTTGAGGGCACTTTCCGCCATTTACAAGTCCCCACAGCAGTTCGAGACCTGGGTGCCGCATGATGGAGTGAGCTCCCATCTCTAGTTCCAGCTCCTGCCAACCTAGCAGTTCGAAAGCAAGAAATTGCAAGTAGATAAATAGGTACCACTTCGGTGGGAAGGTAACAGCGTTCTGTGCGCCTTGGTGTTTAGTCATGCCGGCCACATGACCACGGAAATGGTTCTCAGCTGAATCTGTGGCGCTAACCCATTTTTGTGATGAAGAGCACGGATAAGGAAGTACAAGCTGCTGGAGTGGCTGTGAACTCCTTTGCTACAAGGAGAACCATTCTAGTAAATACAACAGGTGGGACAATGCATCAAGTGACACACAATTGTGCCCAAAAGGAAAAGAAGCGTCATATTGTTGCCTAGGTCATGTGTTGCTTTCCTCCGTGCCTGCACTACAATTCCCATGTCGCAGTGCAAGAACGTGCATGCACAGAAACCTCCCATGAGCCACTTTTTGAAGACGGTTTTGAGCGTTTGCAAATGCCACTTGTAACGGCCGACCCAGTTACTGTTTCAGCTGTGAGCAGCTTACATGTCACTAGAAAGTCCTGTCTGTGCTGCTTATTTGTTGTGCCTTCCTCACAGGCTCTCCTTTTAAAGGTGTGGTTGCCAAGTGATGAACAAGGTGTGATTGCCAAGTGATGCCAGCCCCAAGCAACTGTCGTTAGTCTGTGCCCATTGAGATTAAGGGGGGCAGCTTCCTAATCAGAAACAGAAATTGTGGCATGCAGGCTTGCTTGAAGGTTTTTCTAGGTAGTCTCCCTGTTTCAGTTTGGTGCAGTGGTTAAGTGCGTGGACTCTAATCTGGGAGAACCGGGTTTGATTCACCACTCCTCCACTTGCACCTGGCTGGATGACCTTGGGCAAGCCATAATTCTGGCACAGCTGTTCTTGAAAAAAGAGCAGTTTCTGTCAAGAGCTCTCTCAGCCCCACCTACCTCACAGGGTGTCTGTTTTGGGGAGGGGAAGGGAAAGGAGTTTGTAAGCCGCTCTGAGACACCTTTGGGTAGTGAAGGGCAGGGTATAAATCCAATCCCTTCTTCTTCTTTCAGACTTTCATGGTGTGGCAAGGTGCATTTTCAAGTCCTAGCTCTTGTGCTCACGGGAAACACAAGAACCAGCCATGAGACCGGAGCCAGTGGAAGCTGTGTTTGCTGTTCCATTGGTTGGGAATGGCAAGAGGCCCAGAAATATCGCTTACCCATGTATGTCTGGTACTCTCTAGCATAGTTTCAGTTCTCTTGCACTCCTAAAGGCACTGCGACATCAGTTAATGACAAAATGAGCCCTTGAATGGGGAAATTGATCAGAGTCCACTTCCTGCAGAGCCCAAGTTCGATACTAATTGCATCTGAGTCAATGCCAGTGTGGTGTGGCGATTAGATTGTGGAGATCCAGGTGCAAATCCCCACTCTATCATGATGCTCACTGGGTCATCCTGGGATCATCACCCCCTCTCAGTGTCTGGTTCACACGCAGAACACAGCCCCTCCCTGCACTCTCCTTTTAATCCACGTTCCCCGCGGTGTCCTCCCAGCAATTCTACACTAAAATTGAAATCAACCTTCTTTTTAATCCAGGTTTTTTCCCCCCATTCTGCACTGAAATCAACTTCAACCTTTTATTCCGGATTTTCCCCTCATTCTGCATTCCATGACCTCCCTTCAGTGGTCAGCCCGGTTTCAGCCTGCTGTTGGCCCGGGTTACTTGGATGCTGTTTTCCCGTGGACTTAAATTGCCTCGACTCGAACACTAAGGTCCTTTCCGCACTCAGATCTCATCCCTGGTTTTATCAGAGTTCAGCTGGCGACACAATACCTTGCATTTATCCCTGGTTATGACAGCGTCCGTTTATCCCGGGACAAGTGTGGGGTGAAAACGGGGTTACCGGAAATGTAATGTGGAAACAAAAAAAATACCCCGAGATAATTGCAGGGGTGAACTTGCGTGGAGTGTAGAATGTATGTTCAGGGACAGGGCTGAACCAGGATTTAAGGTCCAGTGCCAAAAGGACCTAAGAAAACCTGGAGTAGCAGGCAAATGCAGAAAGGACCATAGGCCAGATGTTTGGCAAAATATTCCTGGTTTTCCAAGGACCAGAAGGAGTGGAATGTCCTCCATTGCTAACATCATTGGGAATCCGACTCGCAAGAGACAGCCCACGGCATGCCTCTTGCGGGCCTCGTTTGCCTCCCTGTAAGGAGGAATAGGGGAGACTGCGGTGCCGCGTTCATTCCAGAAGGGGGAGCGGAGCCTGCGCAGCAATTAATAACCCCTGGGGGGGGGTGTAGAGGGGTTTGCGGGATCAACCCTGCAGCTGTGCGGCCTGGGATGAGGCTTGCAGACTGCCTATGGGGATGGCCACGATGGAGACTCAGTGCTGGCCGTGCGGTGGTGTTTGAGGGCTCCTGAAGGCGCATCCCAAGTATTGGCCCGGCTGGGTTTGTAAGCGACTTACAGTTGGCTCCAACCCAGGGCTGTGGTGTCTTGTCGTTTATACAGTTAAGGATGGTGGTCAAAGCGACTCCAGGCCTTGCCGTGCCGCTGTCTTCATTTATGCCCTTTGCCGTTTAGTTAATATTTTAATAAAGTGGCCTTATTTCATCCAACCTCGTTGTCTGACTGTTTCTTCCGTCTGGGGGGGCAAATGTTTTTCTTAGGTATTAATTCCTTCCCACCTTTCTTGTTACAGTCCCTCCCCAGATCATAAACATCTCCAGAGACATCACCGTCAATGAAGGCAGCAGTGTAACCCTCCTGTGCTTGGCCTTTGGGAGACCAGAACCTACGGTGACATGGAGGCATCTGTCCAGCAAAGGTAAGGAATCGCTTGAGCTTGAAGTTGCAAGGAAGGGGGGATGCCATCTGGCTCGATGAGGGCAGAGTGCAGCATATACGGAGGAAGGAAGCACTGTGCTGTGTATGTTTTGGAGTGCTGTTGCATTCTGTACTTTCATGTGAACACCCTGAGGGGTGTTATGTTATTCTGGAACAGAAGGCTTCTCAGAAATAGTACACCCACCCAAAGTTGTAAACGTTGAGGCGCAATCAATACGGCAGTTTATGGTGGAGGGTTGAGCTTCTCTATGGTTCCTCCCACAGCAGGTTCTTTTGTGTCTGTCTCTGGATTGGGGAACTGTCTCCTTGTAGATCTATCATGTTAACTGGCCACAAACAGCTGACCAGAATGTTTTGTGATGAAAATGGAGCAAACCAGAGGTAGGGTTAAAAATTGTGAGTCAGATTATTGCATATGATTAGCCTGCAGTTGGGAGAATCTGTTGGGAAAATTGGCAAAAAATACTTAAATACTTGAAGGTTTGCAATGGAGAAGTCATTTCTTTCTTTTTAAAAATATTTATTTCTAAGGGTAGGGTACACAGGAAACCTACAAAATAACAAAGACTACATCTCTACAGCTTTACAGACTGACCACACGGTCTCTCAACAACAATTGTAACAACAATGGAGATTCTCCTTCTTCTTGACCCCTAGAAGGAAATCACTTGATTACATTAACCAATGATGTTTGTAAACAGACTTCAGTTTTGGGGGCTTTGTTTGCATTGGCTCTGAGCCAGGTCTCCTTCCAGGTCAGGCTAAACAATAGCACACAAGGTATACAGTTTAACTCTATAATGACTGGAATTTAGACCTTGCAACTGACATATTTCCAACAGAATTGACCTTGCCAGTTTGAGTAGCCTTGATGACAATTTTCTATGAATCAGGGCCTGTGGAATGCATCTGGAGGAACATGGATGTAGGCTAGTTTGTTGATGTCAAACCATGCTTCGCTTTGCTTGCTTTGGTTGCCATAGCTATTGGGGGGAGGGAATTCCTGTGGGGAGGGGGGGTTAAGTGAATGAGTGAGAGAATGGAACTTTTGCTTCTAGAAGTCATAACTTTCTTCGCGTGTCCTTGAGAGATTCTCTGTACCAGCTTGAGCTGTAGATAACCAAGACATATATCTTTCACTTGGTTGGGATGGCAATGTTAGGCGTGGTGTGAATGCGACATATGCCTGGGGGGAGGAAGGGGCTTTTATTCGAATTATCTATATTAAGTTTGTACCCGCCAAAAGTCTTCAGTTCTAATACAGTGACTTTCTGGATCTTGCATGTATCTCAATAAACTTATCACTGCCAAGAGAGAGTTGTCGAGAGTAACTGGACTGGGGGTCTGACAGTTGATGATGGTGCACCAGAGAAGATTGTGATATAAAAAGGGAAGGGAATACGCCCTGGGCTGTGTAATTCCTGGAAAGGAAGTACAGGTATCTATGCCTACTAATGGCTAACACCAGTGAGAGATGGCTTTGAGGTTTGCAGCAGGAGGTGTACAGAAGTTGGGAATGAGGGCAAGAGGTTTAAATGCTGGAGTGACGTAGGCTCATTGGTTTCCAGTTTGGGCAATTCATTGATCTTTGTCTGATCTGCCTGCTGGGCAATGCTGGTCTTGCTCCCAGCAGCAAAAACCAAGAAGCGTCTCAATATGGCAGGCAGGGCCAGCCACGATGGACGGTGCGTGCTGTAAACTGTACATTGCAAGGGGACCTCCATGGACTGTCAACACTGTGCCTGAGTGGAGAAATGGAGCATTCCTTCTTGCCAGGTTTCGTCTCATAATCTCACGATGGAACAAATGATTGGTGGGTGTCCTACTTTTCCCCCACTCCCTTCAGCAGCACAAGATGTCAGAAGCGTGTTGTGTGGAGACGGGTGTGAGATGAAGAGCAACTATCCCTGATTCATAAATTGAGCAGAAATAAATACATGTTTATGTTAAGCAACTGAAGGGAAGGCTTAGAGCCCATATTTGATATGTACAAGATCCCAGCTTCAGTCTCAGGTTGCAGCTTTTGAGAAAAGTCCTTTTCAGCCTAAGACCACACAGCTACCGCCAATCAAAGCAGACAGTATTGGGACTTCCAGTTTATGGCGGCCCGTTAGCAGACTCACCTCCCGGACCTCCTGGGGGTGAAGCTGCACTCCGGCCGAAGGAGGGGGTATGCAGGCTCGCCACCCACCCTCCGGGGGCTTAAAAAAAAAGCAGGCAGTATTGAGCTAGAGGGCTGCGATGGTCTGTCTTGGTGTGAAACAGCTTGGGGATTACCAACTTTTGGGGATGAGGCTATGGTTCAGTCATGGAATACATGGTTTGCATTTGCAGAAGGTCCCAGGTTTGGTCCCTGGCATCTCCCGTTGAAGGATTGTAGATGCGAGGAGTATCAGCCCCGGTCGCTCAGAGTACCCTGGTCTCGTCAGAGCGCAGAAGCTAATAGGGTTGCCAGTCCTCAGTTGGAGGTGGGGAATCCCCTGGTTTGGAGCCCCTCCCCCGTGCTTGAGGGCTATCAGAAAGTGGGGGGGAGGAACCCCAGACCACCACCCCCAGTCAGAAATAAACACGACTCACCAAAAGCAGGGAGGAAAGAAGCAGAAAGTAAATGTGACGTGCCCATGTCACCCGGTAGTGACATAGTGACAAGGGGCTCAGTCCCTCCTAAGGAACAATGTGCTTCACAATATGAAGGAGAAAAAAATATGAAGGAGGAAAAAAAACGAGCTTCCAGAAGAGATCTACTCCAACAGTTCCAAAGAGGAACACTGGAACGGTTCCCAAAGAAGAACTCCGGAACGGCCAGCTTCCTCAATATGGCTTTATCAAGTTGGAACCGCTGACGAAGGATCACACTGAAAATCAGCCTCAGCGTATTCAATTTATAATATCGTTTTCAAAATGGGCTGTGCCTTCCCAACGCTCAATATCCTCACCGTGTTGTGAAGGCATGGCCCGTTTTGAAGTTGAGAAGAGCCTTTTAGGAACTTGTATTTTATCCAGATATCACTGCTGGTTACCAGTGCTGGTTTCTCAGGTCAGAAGGATACACACATGGAGACAGATCCTTGGTCCATCAGGTCCTTGGTCCATCAAGATGAGTATTGTCTGCTCACGCTGGCAGCAGCTCTCCAGGGTCACAGGCAGGGATCTTTCATATCACCTGCAACCTGAGCCTTTTAACTGGAGATGCTGGGAACTGAACCTGAGACCTTCTGCATACCAAGCAGATGCTCTAGCGCTGCACAATGGCCCGTCTTCTGGCTGACAACCCTAGCTTCCCCTAGGAATAAAAATGGATGGCCCGTAGCCAGGATTTTGTAATTTGGGGGGCCTTTAAATAAGTCTGGGGGCACTGACATCACAAAATAAAAATAAAATGTAATTTTTTAAAATTAAAAACTTACTTTTGCAGCATTTGCATTCTGCCTGGGGAAGCAAGCCACACTTATGGAAGGGGCAGCAGTGGGGAGTCCTCCGGGTGGTCCAGAGAGTCAGGAGTCCTCCGGGCGGCCCAGAGAGCTGGGGGCCAGGGGGCTGGATGGAATTCAGGGGTCCTTGGCAGGAAGTTGGGGGGGGGCAGGCCCCGAAATGCCCACAGGGGTGTGTGTGAGGCTGCACCCTCATTCTGCTGTAGTATGAAACCCTATAAATGAGAGGAAGCAAAGGAGTTTTCCTGGGGCTTGAATAGGCATCCAACCATTACCAAAGGTGTTGTTGTTGTTGGGGTTTGGGGGGAAATGTGTGATATTGTTTGCACACTGAAAAGGCACAGCTCCCCCGCCCCCATCTCTAGCACTTTCATGGCTTCTGAAATATATTGTTCCCAGTCATGTTTGTAAAGAAGCTTTTCAGGGTCTTTGCATAAAAAGTGCTTAAGTAAACAAAAGCGACAGCTACCTTGGAAGAAGAAGAAAAGAATCATCCTGCATTTCGGGACGGAGCTCCTAGTTTCTTCGATAGCCAAAAGAAAGAAATGGATTATCTTTGAAAACGTGCTCAAAGGCGAGGAGCTGGCTTTTATAACGACAACAATGCATCATGTCTGTGTCTCCCTGGCTCCTTCTGTCCCAAGGCGCTCTGCAGAGCGAGAGCGAGAGAAACGCTCGAGATTAGAGCCTCTTAGCCTTCTGAGAATTGGGTCAGCGGCGTTTCCCCCGGATGTCGTGTTGCAATATTTTCAAAAAACCTCTTTTTTGGAGTACTGAGGTCTTGCTACAAAAATCCTACTTGACATGGTAAGCCCTTTGTCCATCAGCTTTGGGGGCAGGGGAGGCTAGTTCCATGCCTGTCATATTGACTTGTTTGACCTGATGGTTCCACTTCACGAGAACAGTCCCCGTCAGAGCTCTGGATGAAAACATTAATAATATTTATTTTGTTTTATTATATTTCTATCCCGCCCTCCCTGCGAACGGGGACACTCTAGTGGTCCTGAAAGTCAGTGTGTCCCCCTCTAATGTGTTGCTACAGGAGATTTTGTGGGGTGGAACATAATAGTCCTGCTGGGTTAGACTAGTGGTCAATCTAGTCCAACATCCTGTCTCACACAGTGGCTAGCCATTTCCTCTGGAGGTCCAACAGCAGGAAATAGTGGCCAAGGCCTTCTCCTGATGTTGCCTCCTGGCACTAGTAGACAAAGGCTGTTCCCTTTAGTCACCATGGCTAGTAGCAACTGATAGACCTGTCCTCCATAAATCTGTCTAACCCCCTGTCTAACCCCTCTGAATGTGGATGTTCCCTTTAGTCCCTTTAGTCACCATGGCTAGTAGCAACTGATAGACCTGTCCTCCATAAATCTGTCTAACCCCCTTTTAAAACTGTCTATAGGAACATAAGAAGAGCTCTGCTGGACTGGAGGGGGAAGGCAGGGTTTGGGGAGTGAAGGGGCGCTCAGTGGGATATAATGCCGTAGAGGCCACCCTCCAAAGCAGCCATTTTCTCCAGTGGAACTGCTTTCTGTCAATCTGGAGATTAGTTGCAGTTCTGGGAAATGTCCAGTCCCTACCTGGAGGTTGGCCACCCTAGTCATCAGGCGCTGGTTTGTCTGTCACGATTAACTGCAGCCAGGCTAGTTGGTACAGGAAGCAGAGCCTTTTTGGTTACAGCGCCCCAATGTGGGGTGCCTATCTTTGGCCGCTCAATTGCTGCTGGACCTTTCTTTCAGGTGTCTGGTGCCAGGTGAAAACATATTTGTTCACTCAGATCTTTTTGCTGATCTCGGTTCATTACTGCGGTTTAGGAATGAATAGTTCTAAAGTTTCTATAATCTCATTTAAGTTCTGCTGTTTTACAAGGATTTTGAAAAAAAATTATCTGGGTTGAC